TTCGTAATATCGTTATACTTATGTACGGAATAAGTATTTATAAGATAAATACTTATAAAATTTTAAATTCCGTTGTAAACTCTGTTCCGTACGGTATATCGAACCCAACAGCGTCGACTCGCAAACCCAGGACGTGTAATCTACGCGCCCCTATTTCTGCCGGTTTCCAACGGTCGCTATTAAATCCAGGGTTCAGTATAAATAGGAATTCTTCTTTTGAGATCTATTTTACTTTCATCTTCTTCTTGCTATCGTCTTTTCCACTTTCTTTGCGAATTAATCGCCTTTCAATCGCACTCAAAGCATTCCAGATCTGCGAACTGCTTCCAGTGGTAAGAATTTATCATCGTATTTTGTTTATTTACCCCAACTTTTCTTTCTTTTTCGACATCATGAGCGTATCATGGGCGTCTTCGAGTGACGACGAATTGGAAGTGATGATGATTAACATGGTTCACTCTGGGGAGTTAGAGTTGTTGTCTGAGTATAACCGATGGGACCCGGTGTTTGTCGAACGATTGAAGATTCGGCTAAACGATAACGAGGGGGATAAAGTCGTAGAGAAAAACGCCATCGATGACTCAAGATTTTGGAGGCGACCTATTAGGAGATGGCCGAACCCCGAACTTACATCCCATGGCGAGCCTAGTATTCTTACTGATGCCGACGTCGTTATGTTGCGGAGCGAAATTCGAGTCCCTACGTTGGTACATCTATTTGCTCCATACCCAGGTGAGAGGATCACATGTCCTCCACCCAACTGCGTTGGAGTGTTCGCTGAGAGTCTGAGATCAGGCTTGCGATTCCCTCTGCCGCGCATAATCACTGAATATTTACGGGACTGGGAGTTTCCGATATGCGAAATCGCTCCAAATTCATGGAAGCGAATTATTGGACTGTTGGTACTCTTTGCCGAAAAAAAGTGGGATCTACCGTCGGCGAAGGACATGAGAAGCATGTTCACATTTCGAAAGAGTCCAGATAGACAAGTGTCGGACCCACTTCTCACTTTTTCTATTGTCGGTAAACCCCAACCAAGGGTGAAGGTCGGCGAATTAATAATGGAGGTCCCCGACACATTACATAGCTTCCAAGAGGAGTGGTTGTGGGTCGGTGGAGATTGGCAGTGCCCCGACTTCGCTAATGATCTTCTTGCCGACGAGACTAGCATCCCAATGGCTATTAAATCTGGTTATTGTAAGTTGTTTACCGTTTTTTTCACTTCGGTTATTAATATTTTGTCTTTTGTTGTCGCTAACAGGTGGACTTTTGTGACCTTGTAGCAAAACCAACTGGGAAGAGAGAGCCCAAATTCGAAGGTCTACTATACGATCGGGTAGACAAGTTGTTTGAAGTGTCTCATAACAAACGACGATATCAGCGTCTTGTAAAGTATTCCCGTTTAGAGTTGGCTGGTTTATCTCCCGGGATACTTGATTCTTCATTTTTACCAGGTAATCTTCTTCGCTTATCTCGTAGCATCGTTCGTGTTAACGAAATCGGTCTAACTTTGAATTTGCTGTAACAGTCTATTATCTATTGCTGGGATATTTTGGTTTCGGAGATCCCACAGAAGCAGAAGAACACCGGAGACGTAATGCGAACTTCGACTTAAAGAACAAAGTTGGAACAAATAAAAATCTTCGATCAACCGAAATGGCTGGACGCATAAACCTCCTTAAGGCGTGGAAGAAAAACCCCAACCGATCTCAAAGTGTTGTCGGTGAACCATCGTCAACAAGGGTAGAGCCCACGCCAGCGATTGTGAATGAGCCGGTAGTTACCGACGTCCCGCCACTTGAGGTGGCACCATTGCAGCAAATAATGACGCCGGTTGATGAGCCTGTGGTTGAGCCAGAAATCTCTCAAGAAGCGCCAGGGGAATCCGACGTGCCAGTGGTTCATCGTCGCAAGAGATCCAGCGTATCTCACGTGGCGGAAAGGATGAAGAAGAGACAAGACACCGGCGTCGGCAAGGATAAGGAGGAAGAACCCGAAATCATTCTGAGGGATTCCTTCCTCAAAATAAATGAGAAGAAAGCGGCGGAGCTGACGCTGCCGGAGGGCGTGTTCGACCCTTGGTTCTCAATGTTTCAGACAGTCATCGAGCCAAAAATCACAAACAATCAGCGGTTCCCCGATGAAGCGGTGAAGGCGGCGAAAGTCCCTTTGATGTCGTGGGACCCGAAAACTCACGCTGGAATTGCATCTCTGCCTGATGATCAAAAGTTCAGCTATGCCCGAGGTTGCTTAGGACGGGCGCTAGTTAGCTTTATTGCTGCCGAAGAAAGTTATCGGGGAAGAGTGCATGAATTAGACGAGAAGCAGCACGAGCTGAGCTTGAAGGAAGGTGCAATTGCTTCCTTAGAGGACGAGAAGCCTCGTTATGAAGCGTTGACGTCAGAGAAGGATGCTCAGCTAAAAACAGTACAAACTAAAGTGAGCGCTCTTAAGACTGAAAGGGAGAATCTATTATTGGCCCATGATCTCTTGTCGGTTCAACTGGCTAAAGTTGCTGAGGTAGCCAAGGAGAAAAATGAGCAGCTCACGAAGTTGAAGGCTGAGCTCCAAGCTGTCCGGAAGGACCGATCTGATAAGGATGCTGAGCTAATCCGATGTCGCGAGGCTCATGAAGTTGCTATGGGTAAACTCCGACAAGAGATGACAACTACGGCTGAGCTCAAATTCCAGGAGGGTATCGAAGTCGGGAAGAAATCGGTGGCCGAGTCCGACAA